ATTGCTTCGTAGAGTAAATCCTCCAGCGGTATGCCAATGCCCACAATCAGCTAGGTAAAATGTAGTTCATTATTTTTTATATAAAATGAAAATTTTAATTTTTCTGCTCTGCCACGTTTACCTGTATTCGCGTTGGACTGGTTGGCGGAAAAATTAGCGCTGGAAACCAGCGTTTGTGCCGCTTCGCGATTGCATTTAATTGGCAGTGATGCGGTTGCGTTGCGGCGAATAATGCAAGAAAAAGTAAATAGATACGAAAATACATTTCGCGCTGTCGATTTCGAGGAGAGGTTACAGTGCAAAACCTCTATTCGTTATTAAATTCTGTGCGCTACTGAAAACGGAAAGTACAACTTTGTAGCAGTCAAAACGGTAATAACCTCGAAAATTTCAATAAAAAGCTGCCACAACCACTGCCTCGGTCACTGCCTGCTTGGCGCTATTTCTAAGCCAAACCAAAGCGACCAATATGACCACGCTAAATAACTTGTTGACCTAGTTTTCATCGCTTCAAGCTGGTGGAACCGTGCTAGAATCTGGAGCTGGTGGCTTCACTTTGTTTGCAGTTGTTGTTGTTGTTGTTGTTATTGCATTGGTGAGCTAATGAAAATTAAAAGTTGCCTAGAACACGCCTGGCATGTTTGTATAATTAGCACTGCGTTGATGACGTCGTGCGATATTGACTACAGTTCCTTGTATACTTTCCAGTTCCGCTGCACAGTTAAGTTTACAAATCTGATGTGTTTGTGTGTGCGAACAAACAAATATCTCATTTAAATTGTGCGATGCTTGTCGGTATACCCAACGAACCAATTAGGCAATGTTTCATATACATATCTGATATACCCAACAAACCAAATAGGCTATGTTTCATATATGTATCTTATAAAACCAAATCCTAACGCATACTCCGAGTTAATTCCGTGCCAAGGCTGGGTTCTGCAAGATGCCATCAGGCCTAAAGATGGCCCTCGAGAAGTAAACAGGACCTTCTCTAACTGCACGGATGCTCTACATTTCACGGAATGTCATCCGTATTCTGAATTCAGTAACAGTAATAATTTGATGAAAATAACTCTTTTGGTCTTCACAGATGGAGGCGCTTCCTTCTCCCACCCATCTTAGGTCAGCTTTTGGGAAGGCAATTCTGTTCTGGAGGAATTCGCGGAGCTGATAAATAACTGAGTTGCAAGCTTAGCTGATCAGCAAGCTATATGTATGCAGGTGGTGGGAGAGCAAACACAGTGTTTTGGAGAAAATATCTCTCATACCACAAATCGACCTTTTATTTCATCATAATTCTAAAGAGAATCATACTACTTGCAGCCAGAGCGAACTTGCACTTTCTACCCGTCCGCATAAAATATACAGACATTTTTAAAAAGCTTCTCTCGCGGGATAGGTTTTAGTGGTTAATGAATTAGACAGTTTCGTTCTGAGCTTCTCTCGCGGGATATGTTTTGTTCGTGACTGAATTACACTGTTTCTTTCTGAGCTTTTACTCTCTTAGCGTCCGCATAAAATCTATAGAAATTTTTAGAAAGCTTCTCTCGTAGAATACATTTTGATCGTAACTGAATTAGGCAGAGGGCACTTATCTACACCATGAGATTACTAGCAGGCCATATTGCCATCGGAAGGCGCCAGAAATAAGCAAGTTTACAAATACAAATACAAACCTTGTGGCACCTGATATGTGAATGTCCCACACTCTGTAGAACAAGTAAAAATTCATGCGCTCAGAACGGCTAAAATGGGAATATAGCGACTATTGGGTTTCGCAAACTCTGCTCACAGGGCATCACAATAGGCTCAAAAATATGCGTGTAAGTGTGCTGGTCTGGTCAATGTCAGCCACTTCAGTCTATCCCAACCTAAACTAATGCTAATGTATTATTTTATTGGTTTTGAATGCCGAAAATTATCCCTGTTCTATGACATATAGGCGACGCAAGAAGAACATAAAGCTTTCAAGTTTTACTTCGTCTGTTTTTTGCGTTAGATTTTCTACTTTGCTTCCATGTTATTGAAATGTAAGAAATTATGGCTCGCTGGGTTTAAGCATATGCGATTCTTCACACATTTGTAGATTAAGACAAAACTGTGTTATAAATACATTTGAAAGCGCTTTGCGTTTGCGTCTAAATTGCAGCTGAAATGAAGTGGAGTAGGAGACATGAGCCCACTGATTAGCTAAGATATACACTACTAACCCATAAAGGGTGCCACCCAGCGACTCGAATAAAAATCTTTAACTTGAACAGCAGAGCTTTCTAATTCTTGATACCTACTTTATGCTATGTACAAGTATATCTACATAATCATCGGATTTAATTATTATTTTTTTAACGTTTTTTATGTTTTTTTCGAAGAAATCTTTACAGCGATAAAAATCGAGAATTACAGAAAACTTTCAGCAGCGAAAAGCTTCAAAGCTCTTACAATGCCTTGTCGATGAGAAACGAAAAGCTCTGCATTATTCTTGCATCCAATTTCTTATTTCTTAAAATTTCTTAAACAAAAATGTTTGCTCACATTTCTCGTCAGAAATTTATGTTCAGTTTTTAAATATCTAAAAAGGCATGTATGTCCAGTCCTTAAAATTTATTTCAAAATATATGATAATTTTTTAAATGATTAAAAATTTATGTTGAAAACTTTACGGGATACCAAAAACGTATGCTCAATTTTTAGATGACCAACAATTTATGTCTACCTTTTTAATCACCAAAATATTATTTCCTGGTTTTAAGACGATCAGAAATTTAGTCTAGTTTTAAAAATTCCAACATGTATGCCCAGCCAGGCCAAACATTTATGTACTGTATTCTTATGGCCAAAAATTTATTTTCTGTCTTATAATGGCCAACAAAATTTTTAAAGTATCAAAAATGTCGTTTTTCAAGTTTTATTGCCCTAAACTTTATGTCTCTTTTTAAATGATTAAGGTCAGTTTTTAAATGACTAAAAACTAGTGTTAAATTTTTAAATAATTAAAGATTTGAAATTATTTTTTAAATAAAACACAATTGGGGACAGTTTTTTAGAGTTAGAAAATGTGTGTCCGTTTACGAAATTACCAAAAAAGATTGCCTAGTTTTTATGATCACCAAAAATTTACGTCATGTCTTTGAAATTCCAGTTCTTAATAACCAGTTTTTAATGACTAAAAATTTCTGCCTACAGTTTAAATGACCAAAAAAGTATATCCATACTTCCAGTTTCAAATTCAAAATTATGTCTATTTTTTTTATGACAAAAAAAGAGTTTATGAAGAATGGTCAGTTTAAAAAAAAAAAACATTTATGTTCAGTTTTTAAATTTCCAGAAATGTATGGCTCTTTTTTAATCGACATAAAATGTCCAAATTATTAATTACCAAAAATTCATGTCCATTTTGTAAATTAACAAAAATGTATTATTCCAGTTTTTGTGTTTAGGCATCCCAATACATGTAGCTCGCTCATTCCCATTGTGCCACCCTGTATATTTGAAATTGCTTTCGCTCTGTACAAATTGCACTGATTGCACTAAACAGAATTCTGCATTGCAGTTGCAAACTAACATTCCACAATACAATACCACAAAATTCGTTAACCAAAACATGCATTTATCTGGTGGAAAAGAAATTCAAAACGGTCTATTTGTTATGTGTCTGGTGCCAATTTGTCTCAAAAAGCTAGCGCATAGCATAGTGGCATTCCCCAGAGGCGGTTCACAGGGCGTAAGTGACTATTTTGAAACAAAACAACTGACATAAATGTGATTGCCATATTTCGTTAATTAACACCGTGGCTTTCACCAACATTTTCAGTACTTGGCTGCAGTGGCAATGCCGCTCGATCTGCCCAATCGCAATGTATACATGGCTTTTAATTTTGAAGCGAATTATGGTTTTCCAGCAAATGATTCCTACTACTACTGGATTGATCGGGTAAAAAGTTTGTTCACAAAGAAGAAAGTAATATGTTTTAAAATTTCTGCAACTTCTTTCGTCCCACACCTACCAGTGGAACATAGATGAAGAATTCGTGGGCATTGGCAACGATGTGATACCATTGGCTAGTCGCCGTCGTCGAAGCTTTGCCCAATTGTACACACGCAACGCATTCTATCACAGCATTGTTGGTTATCTGGAGCATTACGAAATAAATGGCACAGCGTGTCTGTTGAGGACAATTTGCGATGTGTCCGCTTCCAATTTGGATGAGCATAATGGAGTACTCGGCAGCATTTTCAAAATTCTATTCATGTGAGTTTATGTGTGTGTGTTGCTGGTGATAAGGAGACAAGTTTCTATTGTTTTTCGCCCGTATGATTACTCATTTGGGGCGCATTTTATTTGTGTTCTTGTGTTTGTAATTTTTTTTAATAGGCCTACGACATCTGCCCTCGAAAGTGAACACCAACTCCAACATATGGATATTTATGCGGCAGAGGTACATGGACATAATGGTGAATGTGCGCAATATAGGCATTGGTGTCCACGGGGGCTACTTGAGCTGATATCCGAATGGTTTTGACTGAGATTGCATGAGGCATGAGGCTAATGAACTAGCTAGGAGAATAATGCAAATGTCGTTGAACGCTTAAATTATGTGTTGGGTAATCTTTTGTAATTTCTGTTTTTTTTTTCTTTGTTAAAATAATGAAAACCTTTTCTGGAGAGCAAAGAACTTAAAGGTTGTAATAAATTTGGCAATGGCGATAACTAAAGAAATACATTGTGAAGGCAAAGTTGTGAGTAAATTTTAATAAAAATAAAAAATTCCATACAGTTCCTTTTAAACACGGAAATCCTTTGGTGATACGCAGCACGTTTCGCAACTACCCTACCTTACATGGAGGACATTCGGCAGCGTTTTTTAACTTTCCCTTCATATCTGAATCATTGATCGATGTGTCCCAATGCGCGGATCCTTCTCCACCCACATCCCATTTAAGAGGTTTAGCGCAACGGTCCAACGGTGGACCAAATCACGGATGGGTCAATGTTGGGTGGTAGAGCCGGAGGGGTTGTTCTGTCACGAATGCTCCATAAACCTCAACTTAAGGCTTCCGAGTTGCTTCAGAGTATTTCAAGCAAAGAGTCTACTAACTTACTGCTCACTCGTGTGGCGCTATTCGGAGTGTTTGTTTACTCTGATAGATCAGGGCTTTGGGTTCAATGATTTTGCTGTCGAAACCGGTGATGGAATGTCTGACTTTCGTCTTGGTCGCATTTGACTACTTCAGAATGGAATTGCTGTGTGCACCGAGACACCATCGACAATGCAGTTGGATGGCTGACGAGCTAGGAAACGGACCACCTCGAGTTCGTTTCTTCTTTAAACAATTCGAACAATTCCGACGTATTCGGTTTAAGGACTCACTGAAGTCTGCAGCGTATGAAGCTGCAGCTGCAAGCAGGCGTATGTCATGGAATACGCTGTTCGCTATATAAACGTGTATTCGGTTGAAGAAACTACCCCCTCCCAAAAATGGATTATACGCTGGGTTTGGAACCAGTCTCGTAGAATCCCTTCCGATGAAAAGTAAAAATAAAACCTCCTATGAGACCCATTCCCCAACTTTTGATGACGACCACGGCAAATGATTAGAGAACACATCGAATGTCCGGACACTTAATGGGGAAGGTGCCTTTGCCGGGCTGGTTGATGTCCTCGTAAGGACAAAATCTGACGTCAACGCCATCCAATAAATGCGTTGGACAGGGCAAGGAAAAAATGTCTGGGGCCTTGCGACGCCTTTTCCAGCTGCCATGTTAAGGAGTACAAATTCTTTGTTGGATTTGTGGAGGGAGAGAAACTCCATCGCCGAGTACTGGCGCTCACCCCGGTGGACGGGTGTCTATCATCAATCCGCATCAAAGTGAGGTTCTTCAATATCTCGGACATTTGCTCCCAATTTCCGACGAAAGAGAACCACGAAGCATCCAAGGATCTATTTTAAGAGCTCAATAAGGGCAAGGAAGGGATATTTGGCCACATTGTCGGGAAATTCAGCCTCCAAAATGAAGCGTCCGATAATGGACTGAGGCTAATCGACTTTGCCGTGAATCGAAATATGGTTTTATGCAGTACTATATTCAAGCATAAAAATATGCATCAAGCTACGTGGCTGTCTTCAGATCGAAAAACTAGAAACCAAATCGATCATGTTGTGATAGATGGAAAGCACGCTTTCAGAGCTTCAAATGCCAACCGACAGGAATAACGCCCGAAAATTGTACCAGTGAGTTAGGCGACTTATTGAAGGTTTCAAGACCAGGGCGAACTCCTGAAAGAACAACAATGGCGACCTACTGACCAATGTCCAGAACGTACTTAAATTATGGAAAGAACACTTGTCTAAACTACTTAGTGGTAGCAGCACGGAAAGTGGTGGAGAACACGAACCCGAAACACCAGTCGATGACGCTGGAGTCAATGTTACACCGCCTACTTAAGGCGAACAACCAAGCTGCTGAATTTGCCAGCCTTCTTAGCATAGATTATTTACAAGGCCTTATAGAGCGTATTGTATGAAAGACTGAAGACCACCTTCATTCGCTGGTAGGGGATGAGGAAAACCTCTTCTGCGTTGATTGCTCGACAGGCAGCCAATTTATTGGCAAATTGCTTCGAATGCAGAAACATTTCATACAATCTGTCAAAGAATATCGATCCTAAACTATTTCGTGGGTGGGTTTTTGGCAATTCTATACAATATTTAATAAAAATCTTATTATTATTCATGGGTCTCAGTACTTTTTAATTAATTTCTCTACTAAAGAAGCCTTTGCGTTCATATTGTAATTCGCATTAGCTCCACTCACTTCAAGTTCGAAAGCTTAAAAACTGTTCTCCAAAAGTCTC